GCGGGAGCGCGGGGCGCCTTGGGGGGGGCACTGCGTGGCCTTACCCCCTGCTTTCCCCACAGCCTGGGATCACATCTGGAAGGAGCACACGCAAGGTGAGTGCCGCGGGGGTGGGGGCTGAGCAGCCCCTGGATGCCTGGGGTCGGGCAGTTGGGGGAGGGGTGCATGGCCCCGGACACCTGGGTTCTCTTGTGCTAACCCCAGCTCTGTCTCCACAGTGCCCAGCAGTGTGGCCGTCTACACAGATGCCCTGGATGGGAAGGGTTAAATGCCCTTCCAGGGGCTGAAGATGCTGCTATGACCCCGGGGCAGGGCCCCAGGGACACCTGCCTTCTGCCCCGGTGCCTGACTCCTGATGGGCCGTGGGGGAAGGGGCTCCCCTGGTGCATTGTGGGAGCTACGTCTGGGGGCAGGTTTGGTGGTGGGGGCTGGTCCCCCCCACCCTGAATGCACCCGGCACAGAGGCAGGGCACAGCTGTGGTCCCCAGGGTGTTTGGTGGAGGGCACGTGGTGGCCTTGGGGCTTGGCCTGGCCTGGTCCGTCTGTCAGCTTCTGTCTTGTTATCTCCTGTTCTGTCCCCATTAAATCCTACATCCCTTTGCGTGGTCCCACTGTTTTGCTTTGCCCTTTGCCTGGTCCCAGTAGTTTGCCTAGGTGCTCCAGGCCAAGACACATGGAAGGTATCCACGCCTGCAGGCAGACAGCTGCCTTCTGCCTCTGGCCTCCGGGCCTGTGCCCCTGTTGCAGTCAGTGCTGCCCTAGTGGGAGGGCTCACTCACCTCTGGCCGAGTGTGTCTAGTGGGGTGACCCCCTGTCCTTGTTGCTCTTGGCTATGGGCAACTGCGAGGGTGGGTGTGAGACTGTCTTGCTGCCGCCATCTCAGGCCCCTAGCATTGTTTTGTGCTGCAGCTGGGTCTGGGGAGGGCGGCGTGTAACGCTGCCCCCCGCTGGGCAGCGGCAGGTTCCCTTGTCTATACAGCCCCGGAGAGGCTGGTTGCCCGTTTCCAACACTGCCACGCCAGCGTCGCAAGAGGCCGCTCTAGCCGCGCTGGGGGCCCCGCATTCCGCTGCCTCCTGGCACCGCCTCCTGGCCTCGGCGCATGCGCGGTGCGGCGGAGCTTCCGCCAGCGCGCCTCATAAGCCGGGAGCGCCGCGCCTTAAAGGGACCAGGGCGGAGCTGCGCGCATGGCAGGGGGGCCGAGCCCGCTGCGGCAGTGTCTGGTGCAGCGCCCCCCGCTGGTCGCCTGTGCGCTGGGGCTGGCGGCGCTGGGGCTGGCGCTGGCGGCGCTGGGCGCGCACGTCCAGGCGCACAACGTGCGGGACTCC